GATGGTTTGTAACACTGTGTAGCTAAGTTTGGCCTTGAACTTCTGCTCCTCCTGTGCTTTCTTGAGTGTAGGATTGCAGGTGTTTTATTTATGCTAAAAATGTTTTTTTTAGCATTTTTTTAGTTAAAAAATTTAATTGATGCTATCTATGTGTTTTAGAATATATGCTGATAATATTTGATCAGAGGATTTTTATAATAAAGAATAGTTTAATGTCACAAATATGAAAGTTACTGTATTTACTGAAATGAAATTTTCGTTATTTTGGTGAGTTGTGACGTACTGGACAACACTTGAAGGAGAGACAAGTAACATGAACTTTTGCTATCAAGTGAAGAGGTTACAACGTGTATTCCAGAACTCCTGGCTTCTGAGTCAGTGGTACTGTCTGTGTAAGTGGCACCATTCCTGAAGCGGCTTGATTTTGCTAGGACAAGGATTGGTTGTATCATCACTTCCAAGTCTGTTCTTTTATCTGGAAGGGAAGGGACAGTAAAACTGGAAGGCGTTGTAACTGTCATTTCTATGGTTTTGCCATAGCCTCTCCATGTCGATTATGATATGGAATTATTCTGAAAGAATGATTTCAAAAATGAAAATATTTTTTTTTTCTGATCTAGGGAGTTTCAGTCAGAGATACTGATGCTGATCAGGGGTTTAGTGCACAGCTTGCTTGCCAGGTCATTTGTAAGTGGTGCCAGAGGAAGCAAAGGTAGTGAGTGGCTCAGCGGTCAGACTTCGGGGCTCCAGAGTTCTTTACCTACCAGTTTTTCTTTTCATTGGAATGCCATGTTTCTAAAAACGTCTTACACTGTTCTCTGTCCTTAGATAGCTGTTATGCATATGGACATTAGGGTTTCCTTTTTATAGATAATGCCTTCAGCTTCTTAGATAAGTTAAAATTGGATGTTTTTATTCTAACACCCATGAAGTTTTTGTTCTTCATCACGTTTGAGGGGCTGAATCTACTATTTCTGATATTGTCAGTATGTTTTCCTGTAGTGGCCTTCTCTTCCCATTTTATTTGATTCACAGACCCTCGCGATTATAAAACAGATTCAGTAGCATTTGGTGTTTTCCTGTGTTCCAAGCAGAGTTTGGTCATAAAGTTTATAAATATACGCGACTGGAGAGATGGCCAGTAGTAAGGAGCACTGGCTGCCCTTCCAGAGGACCAGGGTGTGATTCTCTGCACCCGTGGGACTGCTCACCGCCTTACATTTGCAACTTCAGTTCTAGGGAATTCAGTGCCCTCTTCTGGTCTCTGCAGGTACTGCATGCATGTGGTGCTCAGACATACATGTAGGCAAAACACTCGTACACATAAAATAAAAATGAGTTTTTAAGAAAGATTCCATGAAATATTTTTTTCTGATGTAGGGAGTTTTAGGGGGAGACTCTTCTCTACGCTTATGTATAATAATTCAGTGTCATGCTGGGAGGTGATGGCGCACACCTTTAATCCTAGCAGAGCCAGGCGGATCTACTGTGAGTTCGAGTTCTACAGAGCGAGGTCCAGGACAGGCACCAACACTACACAGAGAAACTCTGTCTCAAAAACAAACAAACAAATTCAGTGTCATGTGCTAAGTTACCTGTAATTTGTAGCATGCTGGTGGAGTATAGACAAAGGCTGTGCTTGACCAGACCTGAGGAAGTGGAGTAGGTTACAGGAAGACTGTACTTGAAGCAGCTCTGGAAGGACAGCCTTCAGGCATGTCATTTGCAAACAATGATGGTATGTCTATTGTACCATTTCGGTAATAGTGCTTTGATTTGGCTTTGGAGGCTACTTTCCTGTCATTGGATACCTTGGATTTCTGTTTTGTGTCTTAGGTAGCTTTGGCTAAGCTTGAACTCCTGATCCTCTTGCCTGCACCTCCCACATGCTGGGATTATATGTGTTTACCACCATGACCAGTTTTCGTGGTGGGATTTTTTTCAATCTGAGTGCGTCCATCTCTTATGCTTAAAGTGCCTCACCTTTTTCTGGCTAACACAAATTAGACCAATAACATTCTGTTCCCGGTGTTTATTTCTTTTTAAGAAAATTGAAAAGCTTTATTTGGGATAGTGTGTTTGTGTTTATTTGCACATCATATGTTGAAAATACTGCAGTGTCATTAATGCATTGTGTACACCTGACCTAGTGACTACCACTGGGCAGCAGTAAGGCACATGGAAAGACAGTTTGTAGGACTCTGTTCTCTCTTTTCACCATAGAAAAGGTGAAGAGGGTCCTGGGATTGATCTTAGGTTGCCAGGCTTGGTGGCAAGTGTTTTTACCCACTGAGGCACCTGGCTGGCTCTAGGCATTTACATCTTGAGTGGGACCTCCTCAGTCCTTCCTCAAGTCAGTGATATTGGTAACATAATTCTTAGGTGATCAACTGTCTTGGTTTGTGTGGATTTGAAGGACTTCCTAGGGCACAGGACTGACTGTTTAGGAGGATTTTAGGCAAACCTTAACAAGTCATTCCAGCTGAAACAGCTCGAGTATAAAGACAATGAGTTCTGGAATCTAAATGTTCATATAGAAGTCTCAGAAGCTGAAAAGAATGTGTGCTGAAGAAGCTTCTTGTAGTTCTTCCACTTAGCAGTTAGCTATTTGAATTCTGAACTGAGTTTGAGGGATAAGACATTGGAGATAACAATAACCAGTAATTGTGGAACACTTAACTGTGAGCAAAACACTTGGCTTTTAAGAATACTTTAAAAATACTTTAATTGTCACAAGTGTTCTGACGTGGATAGAGAAAGTGAGTTAGGTAAATTGCTTAAAAACATGCAACTAGAAAGGGGCAAGACCCAGATTTTCAACTTTACAGCTCCACCCTTTAGTAATCCACCCACTCTGCCTCGGCGTTCTTGAAGAATGAGATTAGTACAGGAGCCATGGAAAGCAAAGAAATACTTTAATGGAAATGTGTTCTTAGTACAGTGGGTCCCTTAGGAAGTGGCCTAGGCGAGTCAGAGAAGGCTTTGTGAAGATGATTTTGCTTAAGTTCAAGGTAGGTGTGTCAGTTGGTAGTAGTGTTGGGTGGGCCTGGAAGAGGCAACATGGTGTATTTAGGGAACTAAAATAATGGAGAATTTCTTAAATGTGAAGTGGTTAGAAAGTTGAGTAGGATAGCTAGATTGTGGAGACCCTCTCCTCCCAGGTGGTAAGTGGAGTGATTTGTGCATAGAGAACTGTTCTTTGTTGTTTGGTTGCAATGTAAGAGGTGTGTTGGGGAGAGCAAAAAAAACAAATTGGGAGTAATATACTTAGAAATCTCATAGATGGTCTGAAATAGCATTGGCATTGGGACTCATAAGCAGGAAAAGTTATTACAGCTATTTATTTGGTGTATTTTACATTGTAGAACAGGTTGACAAGCTTTTTCTGTAAACAGTCATAATCTTTGAAGCCCAAATAGTTTACATTTTGGAGAGCTATATTTCATCCATTGTGGCTACTCATCTCTGCCTTGAGCACAAAAGGAACAGTAGCCATGCTTATAAAATCAGGTGGTTATCAGATTTGGCTTACAGGCTGTGTGGTCAGTAGTGAAACTTCAAAAATAGTTAAAGCAATTAGGAGGAAAATGATTAAGATGTACAGTGGTTCTCAATCTGTGGGTCGTGACCTCTTTGGGGGCCACATATCAGATATATTGTGTATTAGATATTTATATTAACAATTCATAACAGTAACAAAATTAAGTTATGAAGTATCAACAAAATAATTTTAAGGTTGGGAGTCACCGCAACAGGAGGAACTGTATTGGGAAGGTTGAGAACCACTGGCTTAACAGGTAAAAGCCTTATTGCTAACCCTGAAGACCTGAGTTCAGTTACCAGGGCCTCTATGGTAAATAAATGGATGTAATTTTTTAAGAAGATGATAGTGTTGATGAAGCCTTTAGTAATAATGAAGGAAAAGGAACCAGGAAAGGAAAGAACCCTTAGGATATACCAATTGAACGACTAAGGGAAGAATGTAGCTGAAGAATGGGTCTGTTGGAAACTTAGCTGTAATTCAGAGATTCAGAACATTAGGGGAAAGATACCCTGTAAGGGAGTAGTTGGAAGGCCACTGCCTTGGAGAAGTCTGATGGTCATAAGAAATAGGAGCCATTTGTTTGGCACTTACAGACCAGGGAGAAATGGAGAGCTAGGAGAATGACAGTGGCTGGATGCTGCCATGCTGGGTAAGGAGTGAACTTGAGTTGAGGAAGCTGAGCTCGTTTAGTTTGACCTTGATCTAAATAATTGGTATTAATGGAAAGGAACAGCTACAGTCAAGAGAGATGGAAAGTTTTCTTCTCGTTTGTTCAGAATGGCAGGCTAAACTGAAGAAATAAGCGTAGAAAGAAGCAAGGACCTGGCTAGAAAAGGAATGAAAGAATCCTGTGGTCAGGAGAAGTTGTGAGCGGGACTTGAAGGGCTCGGATCCTAAAGGGGCCTTAGGTGGAAAGGATCTGGACAAATAAAGACATGAACATGCTCTGCAGCAGGGGAGCTAACAGACTACTGAATCTGATGGCTTGCTTTTCGTTTCTTTCTTTGACAGAGTTATTTCTGGAGCAGGGCTTGTAAACTTTTCCCCCACTGGATGTATAGGTATATAAAATAGGTATACAAATAAAACATTTACTGATAGTCATAAAGAAATTTATTTTAAATCAGTTCTTTGGTATACATGTAATTTTACCATATGTTAAAGACAAAACAATTTTGCATAGTAGTGAGGTGGATCATCAGTGCTGAGAATGATACTTCACATAAATATGTAGCATAAAATGGTAGAAGTATATTTAAAGCTATTCAGAAACTGTTGGAAATTCTGTATTAATCCCAAGCCCCAAATCATTTGATGGCTTTTTATGAAACTCAGACCATTGGTTCATTCTGCAATTTAATTTAAAAAGTTTACATTTACTTAGTGTGTGTGTGTATGTGTGTGTGTGTGTGTGTGTGTGTGTGTGTAGGTCAGAGGACAGCTTACAGAAGTCAGTCCTATCTTTCCATCGTGTGGGTCCTGGGATTGGACTCAGTGCTCAGGCTTGGCAGTAAATGCCTTTATCTAGTGAGCTGTCTTACTGGCCCGTAGACACAAAGAGTTTTTCTTTTGGATTTAATTTTTTTAAAGTGCTAAATACTCTTTATTTGATATTATACATAGACTACAAAAAGTACCTTTCAGTGGTAAAAGGCAGCTTTCTTTGACTTAAGGAATTCTAACTAAAATGACATCATTAAGTCAAGAGTAGACAGTTGCTTCCTGACATGTAGCCATTGCCTGTAACAGGCCAGTGAACACAAACTGAATCACAGGTGAGTCTTCTCTTTCCTGAGACGGCGGTAGATTTTCCCAGTGTTTAAACATACTCATATTCCCAGTTATATACATTTAAGTATACAACCATTCAATAAGTTTGAGGTGACACCCATCTTTGTGGAAAGTAGAATTAAGTCCATTCCTGTCTGGAGAAAGGGAGAGCAGTGATATTATTTATGCGACTGGAATTGTTATTTTTTAAAAAGATCATACCCACTTTACAAGTCAGTTTTACTTAAATCAGGACTGTTCAATAAAAACATGGTTAGCCATTCATGATCTAAATTTTGGTGTATGAATCAAATTATGGTACATATTAAAAGCCATGAGACATTTGTTTTGTAATAAATAAGGCAGTGGAATTACTCATTAGTAGCCTTTTTAAGATAAGCTACTAGGTCTGCCCTTTCTCCCTTCTTCTTAATTCCAGCGAAGATCATTTTTGTTCCAGGAATAAACATTTTGGGATTCTCCAAATGCTCCATCAGGGTGTCCTCTCCCCAGGTGATGCCTCTGTTCTTGCTGGCATCTGTGTACAAGCATCCAGCGGCCTGACCTGTCTTCCTCCCAAGCAGACCATGGAGATTTGGTCCAGTCTTATGCTTGCCTCCCTTTCCCACAGTGTGGCACTGGGCACACTTCTGAACAAAAATCGTTTTGCCTTTTTCAACATCACCCATTTTTATTTTGCTCCCGGGTGATCAGTCCCATAAAAACTACGACCTGAAGATGGATGTCCTGGATGCTCTCTAACCTGGATTTAATTTTTAATTCAAAAAAATTTTTATGGGTATGAATGTTTTGCCTGCATGTATGTTTGTGCACCATGTGTGTAGAGGCCAGAAGAGGGCATTGGACGCCTGGGACTGGAGTAATATATGATTGTGAGCTGCCATGTGGGTACTGGGTCCTCTGCAAGAGCAACAAGTGCTCTTAACCACTGATCCATTCCCTCAGCCCCCCATTATGTTTCTCTAGAAGAGCAGAAGACATGTATGAAGCTCTAAGTTTATAACATGTAATAGTTTAGAATCCGAGCCAGAGGTGTTTCAGGCATGAAATGGAGTGCAATGTGAAGTGCACACATGGTCAGAACTGAGGCTGTAATAAACTCATGATTTGGCATGGCATGGTTAAGCCTAGAAACACCTGGGGCTTAGTAAAACATTTTTGGCTAATTTTTTTATTGTTGGACATTTGAAAATTTTTTATTATTGCTGTATTTCTTGTTACCCAAGAGAAATTCAGCTACAAGACCTCATATAGGGTCCTAGCCTACAGTTTAAGAAGCTAGGCTACATGTAGAGAATGTTTTAAAGGGGGTGATATTTGAAGAAAAGGTGCTTTGGGGATACAGCATAGGACCTTTCCAGGAATGAGGGATTAGCTGAAGGAAACACAGAAGATGTTCCTTGACTTGGGTATTTCAGTTTTCTGATTTATAGGTTTTCAACTTTCCCATGATTTGAAAATGATACGTAAGTTCAGATTTTAAAGTTAATCTTACCAACTGGTATGTGGCTGCCCTGCCATATGTACTGCCCTGGATTAGCTGTACTTAATGTATACTCACACTGAGCTTCTGTCACACATGGTGGGTTTGCCCAGGTAACTGCAGTAGTTTGAGGAGCATTTGGACTGCTGTGCTATTTTGCTGTATTGTTAGTTATGACAGTTATAGTTTATTTCACTTAGTTGTATCAGATTTAGCTAAAATATATTTTCTAGCATATATTAGAATTGGTAAACTAAATTCAAAGTGTAGACTTCATATTTAGTTGAATTTTTTAATGGATCTAGCAGAACATTGGTAGTTTAATTAATGATTCCAACCTCTTCCTTCTGTCACAGAGGTGAAAACAGTTCTGAGATACGAAGTTGTCACCCACTCACAGTTGGCAGTACTGTTCCCAGTTGCACAAAAGCGGAAGTCAGTTTTGTTTTTGAACTTTCAAAGAACTATAACGTAGAGAATAACGAGTTGAGCTTCTATGTACATTTAAAAACAATTATAGTTTATAAACTGTCTTATTTATAACTGTAACTACCTCATACACAGCTCCCTGGGTGTTTCTGGAGCACTTTTAGCCTCTATTCCTGTGTATATCTAAAAGATAGGAAAGCATGCATAAATAGTAGCAGTATCACAATTCAAAGTGCCCCTGAAGAATGAGTAACTAGAGTGTAGTGACCTGTGCAGTGGAACAGTGCTTGTCAAGTGCTGTTGCAACATAGAGGAATTCCACAGTTACCAGGCTAGGGCTGAGGAGATGGCTGTGCAGACGTGAATGCCTGAGTTTGGATCCCCAGAACTCAAGTGAAAAATTAGGCTTACAGAATTGTGGAGACAGGCAGATCCTAAAACTCACTGGCTAGTCAGCTAGCCAAGTTGGTAAACTAGAGTTTGAGTGAAAGACCTTGTCTCATACAGCAAATGCAGAGGTTAGTGAGTTGACTCAATGGATACAGTGCTTGCTGTTGCAGATGTGGCAGCCTGAAACCTATGTTCAGGTGGATGGAGAGAACCTACTCCATAGAGTTGTCCTCTGACCTCTACATACATGCTGTGGCATATGTGTATTGGTGAATTGGCTAGCTCAGTCGGTAGAGCATGAGACTCTTAATCTCAGGGTCGTGGGTTCGTGCCCCACGTTGGGCGCCAGATATTGGTGAAATTATTAAGGCCACTCCACGTAGATAAAAGGAGATTTATTTAATGGCGTAACTTACAAATTAAGGAATAGGTAGGTCGCGGAGTCTGGGGAAGGTGTATCACAGTCCAGCGGTGTTCTCTGGAGCTCTGCTCAGTCCACCTCTCCAGTCCAGGGTCCCGCAACAGAGAGAGCGCCCGCCGATCCAGATCTTGGGTCCCCCGGCGCCTCCCTTGGCCCCGCCTTGTAGGCGTGACAGTTGCCGAAGTCTCAATGGGGGTTGGAACTTCCAGATCAAAGCTGGAATGGCTACCCACTACATATGTGTCCCCTCATTATACATACATGCACACAGAACACTAACAAATGTTTAAAAATACTGAGTTTGTTATCTTACTGTTCTTTAAAAGGTTGAATTTTATGTTATATATTACATGTGAATAAAAGCATTTCTTATGAAAAGGAAAAAGATAGTTAGGCCTAGTTGTACATACCTGGGATCTCAGTTCTCAGGGGGAAGCAGGAAGGTGGGGAATTCAACCAGCCTGGACAACACAAATGTGCTGGCTAGTTTTATGTCAACTTGACATGAGTTAGAACCATCAGAGATGGGGGAGCCTCAACTGAGAAAATGCCTCCTTAAGATGGGGCTGTAGGCAAGCCTATAGAGCACTTTCTTAATTAATGATTGAGGGGGAGGGCCCAGCCCATTGCGGGTGTTGCCATCCCTGGGCTGTGGTCCTGAGTTCTATAAGAAGGTGGCTGGGCAAACCATGAGAAGCAAGCTAGTAAAGCAGCTCCCCTCCATGGCCTCTGCATCAGCTTCTGCCTCTAGGTTCCTGCCCTGTGGAAGATCCTGTCCTGATTTCCTTCAATGATGGAATACAATGCAGAGGTATAAGACAAATAAACCCCTTCCTCTCCAACTTGGTTTTTGGTCACAGTGTCACAGCAGTAGTAACCTTAACTATAACAACAGATAATGACAACATTTTGGTTTCTGTAGTATGTGGAGTTCTGAGTCAGTGATTATATAGTGCCTAAAGTTTCCATCCCTCATATAATAAGACTTAGATAAAATATATTTATTTAAAACATTTTAAAGCACTGGAGCATTAAAAAGCATGTTTAATCTTGAGTGGGTCCTATTCTTAAAAAATAAACAGCTATTTGGTGAAATTATAAGTTGGTGGGGTTTTGTCTAGGGGTTCCTTAATAATCCTTCTGCTTGGGGCAGAGTACACAGTATTACTGGCTTGAACTGTAAAAGTAATTCTAGAGAGAGAACAGTGGAAATCCTGGAAGAGAGGTGCTGGAAAGGGAGCAAGTCCAAACATTTATGTATAAAATCTGACAAATCCTGCCAATCTGTGGTACTGGGCGCACAGTGGTATTGGTTAAGTACGTGTGTACACAGCATGAATGCCAGGGCCTTTAGTGGTAGAATATTCCAAGTAGATTGAGTTGCAGCTGGCAATCTTTAATGAGGAAACCTAATATGAAAAGCCAGCATAGGCACTTAGTGACTACTTCAGCTATTTGATATATTTGATTACCCTAAAAGAAGACAAACAATAGAACATAAAAACTCACAGCAGAATGTCTGTTTGGGCTGTAATTACTTTTCCTATAACGAAGACATGTGGTCAGACTGTAAGAAGTAATAAGAGCAGCACTTCTTAGTGCTGGGGTCTGAACCTAGGGCCTCATGCATGCAGGGCGGACCACTAACAGTTAAGCTCTATCTCTAGCCAGAATCAGCATTTCTTTGTTTTCTATTTCTTTGCCTCTTTTGAGGCACAGTCTCACTGTATAGCTCTGGCTGACCTGGAAGTCACTTTGTAGACCAGGCTAGTTTTGAATTTTTAGAGATTCACTTGCCCATACCTCCTGAATGCTGGGATTAAAGGCATGTGCCACCACACCAGGCCCTCAGCATTTTCAATATAAGATGAAAGAGGTCTGAAAGCTGAAACAAGTTAATTGTGGTATGCACATTCTGGACCTTCAGGTTTTTGTATGTAAGATACATATATTTGATGTTGGTATTCATGTTGTAATTGAGTAGAAGGATAAGGCACGAGTTGAATGGTCTGTATAGTACACCTAACTGTACAGTAAATAATAAATTTTTACAAGATGTTTATTTATTAAAGAGCTATTGGGAGGCTGGAGAGAAGGCTCAACAGTCAAAAGAGTAATTAACTGCTCTTAGAGAAGACCAGGGCTTGGTTCCTGATACCCACATGGTGGCTCACAATTGCCTATAATTCTAGTTTCAGGGAATCCAGTGCCCTTTTCTGGGCTCTGCAGGCTTCTGCACACACATTGTACACATACATGTATAATAAATGCTAATAAGAAGAGCTGTTAGGACAAGTACTTTACTGGCTCAAAGATAATGATTGTAGTATCCTTGTTTCTTAACTGAGTACTCTGGTCTAAGGTCACATAGTTAGAGAGTGGTAGACCTACTCATGTCTTTTCACGTTGCATTGATCACCCTTGATTTTAGCCACATTAAATATGTTAGTAGTTAGAGCCATATGTGGTCCACAGTGGAAGTTGAGCTAGGTCTGACTGACTGTGAAGACATTTGTCACATTTCAAATTCACCTCCCAAAAAATGACAGTATCATAAGTCTAGATTTAGTCCTAAACACCACCAGATTATAGCACTGGAAGCAACAGATACTGAGCCAGCAACAGTTTTCAGACAAACTGGAGCAAAAGGCATTACTCTTTGCTGAACCTGGTTTCGAACACCTGTAATCCAAGTTTGAGAGGCTGAGACAGGGAGGGTCACAGCATTTGAGGCCAGCCCAGGTTATATAGTGAGACCTTGCCTCAAAAACTCTACTCAGACCCCAAAAGAAAGTGCTTTCTTCTTGATACATTCTCAAACTTTTTACAAAAGGCTCAACTTGACAGTCATCAGGAGTCTATAAAAGTCTATGGATTCAAAGAAAGCATCACAGCAGACAGCTCTCATGATTTCCTGAGAGCTTTGGTTTTAAAGGTACAGTTAGTAAATTCATTCATTACTTG